CAGTGACTACAGGGGATAAACCATAGGTGGGGAAAACACAAAAGCATAAAAAGAAATCACAGTACATTAAGAACAACAACAACAAAGAACATGTCTTGGAGTTCATTTCACTTAGAATCACCGTATACAATCATATGTACATAGCTATTGAACTATTCTGCTCATCTACTAAGATTATCCTTGATGTACACAATAATGCTCCTCTATTACCCAGTAATCACACTTCTGGGCATATAACCAGGTGATCACAAACAAGGCCACAGTAAAGCTACTACTGTGTATCACAGTAATATTTACCAAAAATGACACACACACTCACACACACACACACACACACACACACAAACACACACACACACACACACACACACACATGCACAGATAAACACACATGGAAAACTATGCTTCAATCACAAAGAATGTGACCACCTCATTTGTAAGGAAATGGAAGATCTTGGAAAAAATCATATTAGTGAAGTAAGCCAGACTTAAAGACACATAGGTCCCATGGTTTCCTTTATTTGTAATAATTAGTTTACATGAATGATAATCTCATGTATTTTAATTTGACATTTTGTTCTATGTTGAGCGTGCAACATTATTGCTATATTTTTTGTTATTATTTCTGCAAATAGGCAGGTATACTTAAAGAATTACATTCATCTTATCCATTATTGAAGGAAGAAAAACTAAAAGAGTAACCACTACTAGGAAGAACAACTCCTATTTACTTAGCTTCATTCCTATGTAAGACCAATGATGTCCCCTGTATCCTCATGTTGTACATTACAACTCTATACCTGGTCATAATGTATATCTAGTATCTTATGCATTGTGAACTAAATGCCAGAACTAAATGCTTTACTTTAAAAAAAAATTGTGTCAATGTTTGAGGATGGTTTGTGTGTGTGTGTGTGTGTGTGTGTGTGTGTGTGTGTGTGTGTGTGTGTGTATGTGTGTGTGTGTGTGTGTTTACAAAGTTCAGAACATAACATTTTTCTTCATTTCGAATACATCTTACAGGTCATTGTAAGTTGTGGCTAATGGGAGCAGTCTCTTGTTATTTTAAGGATGAAACAGAAAAAGATATTTGTGCATGTAACACAGTTGCTTTATTAGTGTCATTGAACACTGAACTTCGATTTACATCTTGGCTGTTGTTGTGAATAGTGTGAATAACAATGAACTACAGATATATTTACGAGTTACCCAGAGAGAAATAATCACATGATTGGTGGGTCAGATGATATTTCAAGTATGATTTCTTTAGAAAACTGCATACTACTTTCTACAAGGAGAATACTAACCTGGATTTTGTCCAAGAGTAGAAAATTTCTTTTTCTTCACACTCTCACCAACACGATTACCTTTTATTCAAAAGGGAATAAAGGGCAAGTTTTTACTATCTTCAGTACCCTAGACTGGCTTAAGACCAAAATCCAACCTCCTAAATGCTTGGAATTACAAACTTTTACCACCACACCTGGTTCCTTTGATTTTTTTTGATGAGTTATAATAGTTATAAAGTAGTATCATAGTAATTTTGAATTACATTTCTCTAATGACTTCTTCTCACAGCATTAAGCCAGCACAGAAGTTGTATTAAACACAACTGTGTAAACCCACTGGTGATATAGAGGGGTTTATGGAAAACATGTCTATTCGAACTTTTGTCCATTTTTAATCAACTTTCTTGTTAATCTCATCTTTAATCTCTCTATACAAAAATAATTAATTCAAGGTAGTAAAAAGGAAAAAATTAAGCAACTCCTAACATTTTTCAATTTTCAATAACATGATATTGCTTAAATCATTTTCTGTTTATGCTTGAGACTATATAACAATTTAGTTAGACCTTTTACATATCTATATGTATTTTATTTATTTTACATTGATTGCTCTTTCCAAAGCCTGCGTGTCTAATTTTGGTTTCTTTCAGTCTTAAGAAGTTCAGATTTCAAACTCAAGAATAAATGGATGTAAGCAAACAAAAAAATACAGTTCCTCTCATCTGATAATGCCTCTACATGAGAAAAGAGTTCATCATTCTAAGGACACTTAATTCTTAAGATAACATTTGCTATAATGCTAATGTTATTACCATTTTAGTGTTGGGAAAAATTGTAATTAAAGGCACTAAGTGCATGGCCCAAGACACACAGTGAGGAAGGAAATGAGTCAAATTTTCCAAAAGTCTTCCAGCAATACACAAAATGTAGATAAATTCTCTCCATTCACTGATACTCTCAATTCAATATTCATACTGTCCAAGAAATAATAGCATAGCAATTATTGCCCATGGTAATTGTTTTCTGTTACATTTTGTCTTCAACACAGACTGTGTTGGTGACATTGTGTTATCATGCACAGAGCTGAGCTTATAAAATATGGTCCAAAGAGAGGCAAATTTCTTCTGTCCCATAGTTCCAGTATCATTTTTAAAAAGTACTAAATCTTTTAAATGTCATCACTTACTGTATTTTAATAATTCAAGAATGAAAAATTTCACATTTAATCACTCCAAAATGCTTTAAGACTAGGAGATGATAAAACAGGCCTCTGTGAAGTAAATTTTCTTCTACTTTTAAAATTATTCTGAAAGCCTGGTACTGGTTTGTCACACCTGTAATCCTAACTACTCAGGATACCTACTAAGGAGCCTGAGATCTGTGGATAATATTGGGAAGCCAACAGGACAAAATAAATTCATGAGATTATTTTTCAAAATTTTAACGAAATAGCAAAGGGCCAGGAATGGAGATGTAGCTCATATAATAACTCACCAATCTAGAGAGGAAGACGTAGCGAGATGTTGAGGCCCTGATTTCAAACTCAAAGCATGCCAACACGCAGGAATGCACACACACTCACTTTTTCAAAATATCTTCATATCAGTGTTTTGCATTAAGTTCTTTGTTAATGATATTATATGGGTAAAATGGGCGTCATAAACTCTTCCATCTCAAAACATTTTTATACATTTTTGTTGTAAAAATACTGTACAGAGGGGTTATAGTTATATGAGCAAAGTAATAAATACATTTCCTATCAAGCATTGTTACCTCCTCCTTTGTTTTCCCCCCACCATTCCTTCCCTTACACCTCCACAAGTACACTCCTCATACCCCAAAGCCCCACCAAATGTCCCTAGCCTAAATTGTAAAGTTTGTTTTTCAAAATAATGTCTTGTGCATCTATTGTTATACAATGGGTCAAACTGAATTCCTATTTAAGCATGTTGTTTTTTTCCTTTCCCTCCCCAAAATAGAGAAGTGTACATTCAAGATGCAGGTGCACCAACATCAAATAAAGTGAAAACAGGGTTATACTGTTGGGGAGGAACGTATAAAAAAGAAAAACAATCACGTCGTACATTATAAATATGTGAGAAACAACAGCAAGAAAGAAAAAAAAACACTTGTGTCTCTATCTTGGGGGTTATTTAGCTTAACATCAACTTATCTAGTCATATACACATAGGCTTTCAACTTTTCTGCTTATCCCAGACATATACTAGTTATTGCAAATAAGGGATACCATGGGACCTATGTTTCTTTGGACTTGGCTTACATCAGTTAATATAATTTTTTTCCAAGTCTTTCCATTTCCTAACAAATTGAGCGATGTCATTCTTTCTGATGGAGGCATAGAATTAATATACATATATATATATATATATATATATATAGTATATGTGTGTGCGTGTGTGTGTACACACAAATACACACAGAACATTTTCCTTTTTTGTTTTTTAGAGCAACTTATTTTTCCACCTTCATCATTTTTTCAAATGTTTTTATTGTGATTAAATGGTTACAAATTTCCCAAATTTCACAGTATTGTGGGATAGTGATGCTTAGTTTAAGTCACAAACACATTCTAACTTCGATGGAGCAAATTGTCTATTATGGTCTACAACATTTATCAATTCTATGAGCTTTGCAATAGAGTTATTTCTTCCATATGTAAATTTTTTGTTTTGAAATATGTATATTTCTTTTGTATTGCATAGCGTCAGCTGTTCCCTCTTTCCCACTTGTTCCCTCCCTCTCTCCAGTGACATTGAGTTGCTTAGTTCATTTTGGTCAATGTCCAGTGCAGCTGATGGATCCCACTGTTGTATGTTTTTCCCTGATTCCTTCTAGTTCTGTGTCATCCTCCTGGTTTCCCTTCAGTGTGCACATATGACGGGCAGAATGGGGTTATTTAGTAGTGATTCGACCAGATGAGTGGAAGTTCTTGGTTTCTTAAGTGTTGTTAATTTTGGCATATCACCTTACATTTTGGATTTAACATCCGCTTATCACGGAGACCCTGTGCCATTTGTCTCTTTGCTTTTGGCTTAACTCACTCAACATGTTTTCCTGTAGCTTGATTGATTTCCCTACTAATGCCATTATTTTGTCCTTTCTAATGGCTGGAAAATATTCCGTTGTGTATAGTTACCACAGTTTTTTGATCCATTCATCTCTGGTGGGACATATGGGTTGTTTTCATATCCTGGCTATTGTGAACAGTGCTGCAATAAACATGGAAGTGCATTTGTCCTTGAATATTGGTACCTGTTGTTCAGGATAGATGCCTAGAAGTGGTATGAGTGGGCCATAAGGAAGGTCAATATTTATCTTTCTGAGGACTCACCAGACTGCTTTCCAAAGTGGTTGTGTAAGTGTAAATTCACACACACAGATAGAGAGAGAGAGAGAGAACATTTTCTTGATCCATTCTTCTACTGAGCAGCATCACGGTTGGTTCCATATCTTAGCTATGGAAAATAATGCTACAATAAACATTGTTTGTTGGTAGTTTTAGTATGGACTGGTTTGTGATCATTTGGGAGAATGCCCAAAAGTGGGATTGCTGTATAATAGGGAGCTCTATGTGGAGGCTTTTGAGGAACCTCCAAACTGCTTTCCAAAGTGGATGAACAAGTTTACACTCCCACCAAGAATGCAGCAGGCTTCCCTTCTGGCCATATCCCTTCTAGCATCTGTTGTTGTAAAAATATGGAATGATTCACTAATTTGTGTATCATCCTTGTGCAGGGACCATGTTAATCTTCTCTGTATGTTCCAATTTTAGTGTATGTGCAGCCAAATTGAGCACAAAACATTTTTTATATATAAAGAGTAACTGATTTTCTTAAACTAGACAATTCAACAAAAATAAGTTCAAAAGAATTGTGAAATTTTAGAACCATGTGTTTCTTACATAAGCACACATTTAAGAATAAAGTCAAGATTGACATATCAAAAACAAAATAATTCCAGGTATTTGTTGTTCATGAGATTTGTAGGAGGAGGAATTCAATTATTCTACAAAAGGCACTTGTCATAATGATCATTGCAGCAAATGTTAAGGTTTGTTAAAAGTTTTAATGTTTTAAATATGTTTAATTTTGGGATTTGCTTATATATGGCAAAATTAAGACTGTTTGGCAGGTCATAAAAATTTTTGATAAAGTATATAATATTTCTGGTAGCATGTACTAGTAAATATGAACATTTCAGATTTTATAGAAACTTTACTAATGAGAAGTTGTAAAGACTGTGTAAAGAAGCAGAGTGAAGAGTGAAGATTTTAAGTACACAGTTTCTGTTAAATCTTTAGGGCTCCTTTACGTTATATGTTAGTGATGAACAAATAATGATATAATCCACATACAAATGATGAAATGAACTATAAATAGTAATCTTAGTGAGTAAATTTAAAGGCTACTTATAGCTTTATCCAGTTTTAAATGTACAGGAATATGAGAAAATAGTAAACTCTACTATGTACACTTCAAATACTGAAAACCCTGGTAATTGTTTTGTTTTTTATTTTAGTAATCATTAATATTTAATTATTGTTTTCTTTATTTATAGCATTTTTCCTTGTTGTAATATAATACAACTTTTTGTGAGTCATGATTAAGAGGTACTTTGAGAATATTATTGGGATGGCCACACAATTTTTCATAGGTGCATGTGAATTTACAAAGAGCAAAACTAAAAACAAAATATTGATGAAAAATTATATCAAGTAGAGTCTGAATCAGGAGTGTTGATAAATGTCCACACCTAAAATCTTAACCCTAGGCTGGAGCATCTTATTTAAATATTGTTGAGAATTTCAAGACTTCCTTTATTTAGGGCCCTTAGAAGTATGTACAACATGCATGTGTACAAAGCCAGTTACAACAGGCAAATATGACTACGTTTCCCCAAAAAGAATCTATGAAGTCAATAGTTATCTTCCCAAACAGATGAAAAAATGCGTCCAAAATGATTCAGTGCACCTACATTTGTGGAGTTATTTAAGTTATGGATTCTTTGTTAGACATATTCTTTTCTTTTAAAAATTGTCAAATATTAGTTTATAATAAACTTTGTCTAGTATTTCTTGGTTCAAAACAGAAATCTTGATACAGTTGATGTCACTTGGCTTTCTTACTATCTCAGTTCAAAGCCAACCTAGGCAGGAAAGTCTGTCACATTCTTATCTGTAACCAAACACCAAAAACGCCAGAAGTGGAGTTTGGCTCAAGTAGTAGAGTCCTAGCTTTGGGGGAAGTTGGCCAGGGAAGACATTTCTTCAGGGACATGGTCCAGCCTCTGAGTTCAAGCTCCAGAACAAGGACAAACTAAACAAACAAACAAGAAAAAAATGCACATATTTCTTTGGGACCATCCATAAAGCACTGGTTTGAGAACAGACTCCTTTTGCTGATCATACTCACTGAATCCTGCTTTTTTGGAATACTAATTGCGCTGGAGAATTCAGGACAAGACTAAATGAATTAATAAGTGACTCCTGCAACAACAGAATCATCTCAATAGTGAAATATCCATGCATAAGACAAATTAAAACCTCCAAGTCTTTGTTTCCTTGCAAAAGAAAACTTTTAAAACAATGTTTATTTCCTTTTGTTCTATGCTGGCCTTCAAATGACACATTGTTTCCTTTTGAAATACTTTCAAGAAGAAGTTTTCAGACAATTTTTATATGAATAAAGAACACACTCGAAAAAAGTCAGGGACAGTTTCTTCAAGCGTGGATTCTTTTTTTTCTAACAATGAATATATATTTTTTACAGTGAAAATACTGAACAGAGTGGTTACAATTACATGTGCAAGATAATGAGTACAGTTTTTATCAAGCATTGTAGCCTACTCCTTGGTTTCCCCTTCCCATCCCTAGACATAAAAGAAATGCAAATCAAAACAACATTGAGATATCACCTCACCCCAGTTAGAATGGGTATAATCAAGAACTCTAATAACAACAGATGCTGGAGGGGATGTGCAGTCTCACTTTTGGGCATTTACCCAAATGTTTACAAACTAGACCACACTAAAGCTATGAGCAAAACTAAGTTTATTGCAGCATTATTTATAGCTAAGATCTGGAATGAGTACATTTTTTATCAAGCAATGTAGCCTACTCCTTGGTTTCCCCTTCCCATCCTCCCCTCCCCCCTCCATCCAATCCTCCTCCCCCCAACAACAAAGTTGTAAAGTTCGTTTTTGAAATAACGACTTCTACATCTCATTGTTGCAATGGGTCCACCTGTATCCTTATTTAAATGATTTGTTTTTTTTCCATTCCCCTCCAGAAATTATACCGACATCAAATACAGTGAAATCAGGGGTTATTGTTATCCCGTGGGGAAGGGACATAAAAAGCAACAGGAAATCATCTTATAAATGTGTTAGAAAAAGGTCACATGAAAGAACAAAAAACATTCGAATACATATCTTAGGGTTCATTTCCCTAACATCAACTTATCTGATCTTTTTTGTTTGACTCAGACATATACTAGCTATTGTAAATAAGGAAAACCATGGGACCTATGTTTCTTTGGGCGTGGCTTACTTCAATTAATGTAATTTTTCCAAGTCGTTCCAGTTCCTAACAAATGGGGCAATGTCATTCTTTCTGATGGAGGCATAGGATTCCATTGTGTATATAAACCACATTTTCTTGATCCATTCATCTACTGAGGGGCATCTGGGTTGGTTCCATACCTTAGCTATGGTAAATAAGGCTGCAATAAACATAGTCGTGCTGGTACCTCTAATGTGGCCTGTTTGTGAACATTTGGGTAAATGCCCAAAAGTGGGATTGCTGGGTCTTAGGGGAGCTCTATGTGGAGTCTTTTGAGGAATCTCTAAGAACAGACCTCAGGACTACTGGAATAGAATTGAAAACCCAGAAATGAACCTACAAACCTATAGCCATCTAATCTTCGATAAGGGAGCTAAAAAAATTGAAGAAAGACACTCTCTTCAGGTAAAATGAATGTTTTCAGGCTTCATAGAACTAGCACAAAGACATCTTTGGACATGAGGTAACACGCCTTTCAGAGACAACTTAGTAAATACAAAATATAAAATTTAAATGACTTATAAAAACATTATTCATGTACATATGGCCATATAAGATAATGTTAAGAAAAATGAAACCCAAGATAGGGACACAACTTGTTTTATTCTTTATTGAAATTGTTTTAAATGTATATAAAATGTACTATGTGATTTTTTCGTTTCTCCTCCATGTTCTTCCCGCATGATATAACTCCTGTTTTCACTGGATATGATGTTGGTGCCCTGCATCTTGCATATACATTTTTCTAGTGTGGGGAGGAGAAGGGAAACAACAAAATGCTGAAACAAAGATTCAGGATGACCTATTGTAACAATGATATGAACAAGACACTATGTAGAAAATGAATTTTACAACTTGTGGAGGGGAGGGGGAATTGGGCAGATGGGGAAGGAATGGATAACACAGGAAAAACAAAAGAGGATGTAACAATAAGAAATGTACTCATTACCTTACTTATGTAACTCTAAGCCCTCTGTACATTATTTTTTACTATAAAAACATAAAAGAAACCATTATCCATGAGTACATTAACTTCAAATTCCATAAGTGCTCTTAAAGTAAATTTAACTTGGAGAAGATTCTCAGAAAAGTTTATTTGTGTGTGTGTTGTGAATTATTTCCCAAGTGTACACAAGTTAACAGTAGAAGAAACAATAGGAATAATAAGAGAAAGAAAAGTTCTGTGTTTATGTCTAATGGTTCAATATAGTATAGAAGACTCTGCAAATAAGACAACATTGAACCAATAAAGCCAAGGCCATTATGTAGATCTATGGGAGTGACATAGAGAAATAATTAATACTAAGAGGAACATGAACGATGAGGCCACTCTCTTTCAACTTCTATCTCTAAATCATGGTTGCTAATCACGCAAATTTGTAAAATGTACAATTGAAGAATAATTCTGGTTCCAAAGCAAGTTAGATATAAGAGCATGGACTTAACTGGAAAAAAAGTCCATGGTGAGAAAGCAGGAATTATACTAGCAATGAACTGGTGGCCAAGATCTCATTTCTTTTTCTTTCTTTCATCTTTTTTCTTTCTTTTTTTTTTAATGGTTGAGGCAGGGTTTGAACTCAGCCTGGGAAATATCTCTCCACTCTTCAGCTCAAGACTCGTGCTCTACCTGTTGAGCCACAGCGCCACTTCCAGTTTTCTGGTGGTTAATTGGAGATAAGTGCCTCAGAACATTTCTTTCCTACTCATACAGGATTTGAACTGCAATCCTCAGATCTCAGCCTCCTGAGTACCTAGAATTATAGGCGTGAACTCAAGTGATGGAATACTAGTGATGAGCAAGATTGCTGAATGAGGTTGCTGAGGCTTTTGCATACACACATACAAACATACACATACACACAGAGGCACATATATGTGCAAACACACCTGCACAAATAAAACAACTCTCAGAATATGGAGAAATATTAGAAAACAATAGAAAATATATCCTGAGTAAGACTAGATCAAGTGATAATTTTTAATATTAGAAAGTCCTCAAGTGAAATTTATTCAAAGTTTGATAATATTACATACCTAGGGACCAGAGATAAAAAGAAAGTCAAGTAATCATTATTAAAGGGATTGGATCCATGGAAGAATGAATCAGAGACCCCTGCAGGTGCATCTGAAAATGTTCATATCCTGTGTGAAATGATAGAACATCTTTGAAAATAGTACATAAACAACTTGAGCAGTCAGTCTAATGAATAAGATCATAGGAGAAGTTCAGAATTGCT